CCGCACACATTTGTGTTTTAGGCCAGTACGGTCTTGTGCATGTATCCCGTCTTAAATAATAATCGTTCATTTATTTTTTTATCACTATTACGAGACGAATAAACAAACATACATACATACTTGAATCTTCTACAAAACTTATTCATTTACTTGTGCTGGATATTTGGCACCGTTTTGTAGCGATGAAAGATTCGATGTTGGCCTTATTTTGCGTTGGTTTGCTAGTATTAAGACAGCACGCAAACGCTCGTCTGTTAGTCGTGAGCGAAAGGTTGATTTTTTAACTTTCATTGTTGAAACAAAAATATTGCTGCTGTTACTTCACATGCCTCCAACATACAACCTTTAATAAAGCTTCATTCAACGAAAGAACGCGACTATCTCGCAATCATCTCACTTATTGCAAAGCTTGCTTTCACTGAAGCTTCACAAGTTTTGTTCATGTCTGAAAAATGTGTTTTGAGATCCCTACTTTAGGTTAATGACGTTTCACACTTGCGAGGGAAAGCGATATGTGTTTTTCATAAAAAACGCAGAGTTGCTACGTTGTAACGTAATTGCGAAACGTCGCTGCGTAACGAATTAATTAGGGAACGTCGTTGTTTAACACAAGTTCGCGCAGCGGACATGTGAAGAATTGGAGAACATTGAATAAAATAGCTTATAAAATTTTACTGGTGCAGGATAAAATCAATCTAATTATACCATTCGAAACAAGGTCCAAGTTAAAACAAGGAGGTTTTTTGTATTTATTTCAGAGACTTTTCAAAAAAATTTCAGGCTTTTCAATTTTGCCGATTTCTGTACGTTAATCGCGACATTTTATCTCCTAGATTGTCTCAATGTAATATAAGGTTTCAAAGTAGCATAACTCACACGGGAAAACAAGATAGATAACTATCGCAACTTTCACGAAACCGCATTATACCAGTATTGTTCCACTAGGCAAATAGCAAAAGAAAAATGCTAAACTTACCTGGATAAAATATAAAACAGTAACAAACTCGAAACAAATTGACGAACGAAACCTGATTAGCAGACTGACAAAGCTAAAACAAACAGAGGCTGCCGCGTTCCCGCGATTCGTCGGACCCAAAATGGCGTCCGATATGCATCATTGAATTCAGTGTCTCCACTTGTATTATAGCCACTTTGCCATCACTATGCTAGGTCACGAAAGTCAGCATTTTTGTTGTTGTGTACGTGCTCACTGAAGCATGACGTTAGTTGGTCTCAAAATTGACATATATATCGTCAACACTTTTTTCAAAGAATCTCATTTTTAATTCTCAAATTGTGTTCATTTATTTATGATAATTTAATTCCGTATTGTTTGACGTCATTTGCTGCTAAACCCACCAAAAACGGTCTCGGTGAATTTGCTAGTCTTTCGTGACCCTCTCGCCCATTGCAGTTCGAATATTGTTTTCAATGAATTTATCTGGTTTTTATTTTTTGTTCAAATGTTTTTATTTTTCGCACGACGAAAATATTATCTGAATCTGAAATAAACATTACTTTAATTAATCCAATCCAATCATGTAAAAGTTGTCTTGTCGAATAAGTCTATAAATTATTTGATATATAAAATTGGTAAAAACGTGCCTTCCAAAAAAGAAAATAATTGATTTTGGATAGAAGAATTCAATGCATTGTGCATGAATCTACTGTAAGTTCCGTAAAAGCATAACGAGAACAAGTCATATTACATAATGTATATTCAAGAAAAGCATACTATTACTTGTAATTTTAGTTCACTACTTGATACATCAACGACTCGTATAACTTGGTTTATAAAATTAAATCGAATACCGCGACTTCAATTTTATGTCCAATTTTGTTTGAGCAACACATTGAACAACGACAATGTAGCGCAAAAAATAGGACTTTTTGGCAAACATCGATGACGTCATGGTAAAGAGGCTTTTTATCGCAAACCAAGCTCTTGAGATGGACATAAGTGTGGCTATTGAAAGTACATTGCCCAAGTATTTGAATGAGAAAAGAAAATATTTAGATCCAATTCGTTTCGATTATCGTTTACCGAACAATGACGCCACGATAACAAAACCGCAAAATGGAAAACTATATCGATCTTTTAGTACCAATCCGTTGGAGCGCTGTGTCAACAAGTTATTCTGTTTCGTATACGGACGATTTATGATAAAACGAATGATGAATTTAAATCGTGCGGTTACCTAATTCAAACAGTTCGTTGACGTGCATAACTCGTTACTATGACAACGCGTACGGCACAAATTTACTTTGCCTCAGAGAGAAATGAAGCTTGGCTTACATTCATAGTAGTTTTAGCATTTTTTCCCCTATCATCCTAAAATACGAGATATTATGCTTTAAATCGTCTTTATATTTATTATGTTTCATTGGGCATATCAGCGTGAACTGGCGTTAACAGGCGGATGATGGCTAAACTTTGAGCAAATATGGAATAGAGTACAAAAATTTCGTTGTCCAGATTAAGCTAGAATTAAATCATGTTTCTAATTGGGAACTTGAAAGCCGGAAAGACGAATTATTCATATCAAAACCACTTCTAAGTGTTATTTATTCATATACTTTGACAAAATACTCAAGTTAGTGGAAGCTATTTGATAGATATAGTATTCTGAAGTTTGTAATTTACCTGAGAGTGTAAAACATTAGCAGTAGTGGTGACTGAATTGTAATATTATTGATAATGTTTTATATATTGCTCCGCAACTTTTATCCGCAATATCACGTTTGCGCTTGCGAGATGACAACCTGGAATAGCCATCTCATATACATGATATACATGTCTCATATACATGTCATATAAAGCCCATTCCCTATTCATATACGGTAAACTCAATCTACATATACAGATATATAAAAAATGTATTCAGTATATATATACAGCCAATCCATTTTAGGGATTGGCATTTGTTTGAAATCAGGGCGTTACCTTTTCGTTCGATTTGATTGTATTGTTATTTCATAAACGGTGTAACAGAATTGTTGGCAGCTGTTGCATACCGGTATACATTAGTAGTTCACTCATAGTTAGACTTAATTATGACTGGCTTTATGATCAATTTTTATTATAAAATGTTAATATATATGTTCTTTTGCATTAATTCATGAATTGGTGGGTTTCCAAAACAAATCGTTGGTCATTCTGTGACCAACAGGTGAGTGGGCACCCTGTATATTTGAAATATTGCTCATTCCCCAAGCATCATTTAAAGAAGGGGTGTGCAACCTGCGGCCCACAGAGAGAAATTGCGCGGCCCGCACAGAAGTTCCAATTTTGAATGGTTCGCGGCCCGCGAGGCGAGTTTTTGATTTAGTTTAATCTGGTACGTGCAATTCCAATCTTCTGCGTTGTAAATGAGTCCAATTTATTATCTATGCATATGACGTTACAATGCTCTGTAACGAGCGTCATAAAATCCCGCTGTCGATCGGTTCTGACAGACGAACACCTGAAAAATGGGCATCGAATTGCTAGCATCACCATTAAAGCAAATTTGGAGAAAATAACTGCAGGGAAAAAGAAGTCAGCTGCATATTTTTCTCTTAAATTTGAATAGCAGTTTTCGTAACAAATTTATCCGTCTTAACTCATCATTTCTGCAAGGACCCCTAATAATGCCATAAGATCAATAATAAAAAGAAACTAATTTTAATGCCTGCAACTACTAAAAGCCTATGTTAAATGAAGCTGCGGCTCGTGGTTTCACCCAGATATTTGTATCTGGCTCTTCTGTATTAAAGATTGCGCGCCCCTGATTTAGAGTGTGCCTAAACATGTTATGTGAGGGTAACGTGGTAAATAGAGATGTATGAACCTCTACGGACAACTTATTGTATCATAATACCCGACAGCAGTTTGTCGCTGAATTCATGAAGAATGTTGTATTCACAGCAAAGCTATTCTTTCTTGAATAACTATTGTTTGACGATTGGCTACAAACTAAGAATTTGGAAAGTGTCATTATACCCTTTAAATCTTGCTCAATTCAAGAAACACCGAGATATTATTTAGAGATATTATGACATCATAAGTTGGCTATTGGTGTGCGCAGTGGTGTGATTCCGGGGTTCAAGAAATCGTTTTTGGAATGGCGCGGTGACCAACGAACCCGTTCTTGTAATTTGTTTTAGCTTACAAAAATCGCTATATTCAGGCTCCAAAAATTATGTATTATATTTATGTAAAGCGTATCATGTTATGCAGTTTACGTGGTCACATACGTATATTTTCTGAAATGAGGAACCCCGTTGTTGGTGTGTTCGACACAAAATAGAACCCGTTCGTAAAATTGGAAACCCTCCACTGAAGAATGTAGCCTACGTATTCAGACTCAGTTCTACACGTGATTCATATTATAACAAACAACCATTTTAAAAAATTTACAGAAGGCTAAAAAACACGACCACATTCGGTCAGTGAGCTCAGCTACCATCTACAAAAATGATCTCGTGATGTCTCTAGAATTTAACAAAATATATCGTGTGTAATAGTAGTATGCAATATACCTTAATTGGATGAGTATATCGCGAGTTTACTACCGATGACAAAGCAATAGTTATTTACTTGAATGGTTGTATATGTGTGTTAAGTTGACTACGTATGATTACGTCATTTGTTGTATGCGTATATATGTATATTCGACTGGTTTTGTATTTAGGGGTATGAGTAACTTGAACAACTTATTACAATACTATCCATGCGAATACTTACTGATTATTGGCAAAGTAATTATGATTTCGAAACATGAAATTGTTGTACAAGAACTTATAGAACTTATAAATCGTCATTTTATACACTTTCATTGATAACTTGTTTGTGAAAAACAACGTATATTTCGGAGTTTATTAAAATTTTAAAAGTTAATCTCTGCTAGACTTTTTTCTATTTCTTCATTTGAAATATATCAGTTATTGATATCTAATAGTACATAGAAGTAATGTAAGTATTTTGAACTCAAGTCGCTATTAAACTATTCATTTATTTAGATAAAATCATCCATTTATAGACATATTAATTTAATCAGAACGAGATTTTATATACATTGACATCGTTTGGCATTTATGATTGCTAAAGTCCGTGCCAATTAACATACAATTTTTTCATTGCGACATTCAAACCCACATTAAACGCAAACAACTCGAAAATGTCAGCTCCTAGCCATTTTAAAATGTTTTTGCAAAAGATGATTCCAGAAGTACCTCTGTCAAACACAATGGAAGCTGATCACATAATTAGAAGGTCTATGGCACTTTTACGACTTTGCTATCAGGTAACAAAATATTTCTATTCGCATGGCTATGTAGATCAATTCATCATCACTGTGTAATTTCACATGTTATAATTGTTGAGATCAGGACAGAGCTTTTCTAACTGTGTATCACCAATCTCTTTGAAACGATATCTGGCACTATCTATATTCACGGGTCAATAAATTACATAATTCATGATTGTCATCGTCTTAAATTGTGATTTTGGGATTAATGAATTTCATATCATTTTCTTGTTCTTTAGGCATACATGCTCAAGGGAACAATCGCTTACACAGCATGATTAACTTCTTTATTTAAATCTGTAATTGCAAGCTCGGTGACCCAATTCATTTTATGGCGTATTGAACAATTCGGGGGGTATTTCACATTCCTAATGGTCAGACTGGGTGTAAACAGTCGCACTGTCCGCAGCTTTCCCCCTTGCATTCATCCGTTACATACTACCCTCCAGCTGACAGCAATATACAACTAAATATATGAACAAGAAGTCTTTACCATTAGATAAAAGAAAATTGAGGGATGTTATTGGTTGATTCTGTTTTTATGGTTAATATTTTTTTTATCTATAAATCAAATATGCATTCAATGCCTTTTTAATACCTGTTATATTCAGGACGTGCCTACTGGATTTGATCTCTTGGACCAGAAACTGCAGCAAAATATCGACAAAGATTGGATACAGTCTTACCAAGAAAGAAATGGAGAACAAATAAGATACAGTTGAAAACCATTTACCACACATGTTCTGCGATAGATTCAAAGTTTTTATCTCAATTTGTTTTCAATTGGCAATAATAACCAGAGACTTGGCCAGAAAATGAGTTTATTTCCAATATCAGCTTCTCAATTCAAGAGCAACGAGGGATATACTGGATAAAAAATGAAGTGTGATATTTTTTTTATCTGTCTTTCAATCCTTAAAAGGAAATCTGCTTTTGCAAACATTCCCTACATATGAAGCCCTCAGTTATTTGTTGGTTGTATTGGCGGTACAAAAAGTTTGCTGCCAATTACATAACATATATATATACTCGAAAATATACATTTGTTTCTTTTTAATTCTATGCAGTTTTTGGACACCAAGTGTACATATATATATATATGGATTGTTTTGTTATTATTATCATATTGTTGATTTTGTTGTTAGTATTTCTTTTTTCTCGTTGTTATAAAAAAATGCTTTTTCCATTAACTACCGGACCAATTGCTTTAGAATTTTCAATGGTCAAGGATTGTAATCTTCGATGGATATTTATTTCAAAAATTCTTTTGGACTCCTTGGAATTCGTTTTTGTGTGTGATGACGTCATCAAACTTGAAAATCGCGCATATTGCGGCGGTTCCGCGTTCGCGGGCAGGCGAAGTCGTGAAGACTGAGCTACCGGTCGTCCACTGTGACAGATTGCATACCCGTACTACTTCTTTATGTCTTTCGTGTCCATATACTTGAGCATCGTTCGCTTGTTTTTACTGCACTGTTTTCTTCACCTATTGATCTTTCTACGTTGTATTCAGTGGTGGGATTCAAATTTTTTGTCAGCCGGTTCTAACACAAAAGTCATATTTTGCAGCCGGTTCTGTTACAAAAAGACATCCTAGGTTGTAAACTCTCGACTACTGGTGCTGTAGAGCAGGGCTACTCAACTGGCGGACCGCGGTCCGAATCCGGACCTTTTGATCATTCAATTTGGACCGCGTATGCTTGTTTACACTGGCAGCATAAGCATAGTTTCAGATAATTTCGATACTATTTAAATAGGCTACACAGTTATACAGTTTGTCGTTCTGGTACCGATGTGCGACATTTGTGTCCATATTTGCGAGCGATTCATTGCTCTTGTATTTAATTAATAATGCATTTGAACTTTCGTTTATTTAATGGAATAAATTTTCTGTAATGTCCGGACCCCAGTACGTAAGTTTTGTAAACGGGCCTTTGGTAAAAATAGTTGAGTAGCCCTGCTGTAGAGTGTAGACTACCGGTAGATCTTCAGGTTTTGCAAGGTGAGATAATTTATGGCACATCTGTCAATATTAATCAATTTTGCATTAATTGGATTGGCCTGTTAACTACAGCATTGCCGTACTAGATATCCCATCTCTGCATTTGGACAATGAGCTATTGTAGGCCTACCGTACCATATTCTGTTATTTTACTTTTGTTTGCATATGTTCAATCTTCGTTACCGGTATTCTATTTATTGGAGTTCTAAACCGAGGTAGTCTACACCAAAGCAGAAACGTCTCTGATTTTTCGTATTTTCCAAAAGTAAAATTTCAGACAATTCTGATAATGTTAGCCTAATCCTTATAAAGCAGAAAAGGATTTACAATAGCCTACTAGCAAGCAGACTGGTAAAATTGTAATTTCAGTTATCCAGCGATTTGAAATGACTGATTCGAGATTTGGACTACCCTAATCTTAAATAAAATGCATCTGGAAAGGCATCTCTAGTGAAACTGCAAGATTAGCTACTGCATTAGACAGTCATGAACTTTTCATGCCTATATCATTTTCATACATCTTCAATCTGCTGATTTTTTTCAGTTCGAAAGTGGAAAAACATATCCTGCCATTTTACCTCTGGGGCATTCGCATTTGGCCTTTATCAAGTCTGTCATTGTATCAACACTACAAACGAATTTCTGGAAAGGTGAGGAACTGGTAGCTTATTGGTGTTTCTTTTTTTGATGGCAATGGTATGGACTTAACTGTTTAATAAATCAAAGCCTTGCTTTTAAATATGAGCATCATATTACTATATATAGTGAGCCTCCTTGCACCAAGTTGATTTTTGTGCAATGAATAGGCAAATAAATTCAAACCTAGTTTTTTTTTTTTTTTTATATAACAATTTTCATTGTTTGGAGAAATAATGATATAATTGCGAGCTTCAGAAAGGATCTATAATAAATTTAACTTCTTCTGAGCATTGAATATAATATGAATCTACCACTTTGTTAATAGAATCATTTTACCCCAGCAGATCAAGTTATAACATATATATGTAAATATGTTGACTTCTCACTCAACTACTTGTTTGCATTTTATACCAGCTATGCCATTATTTTCAGCCGAATTGCCAAGATAAACAGCCACTGAAATCAGAAAGTACAAGAAAAAGTGACAGGGGCCACTGCATTGTTGAATCTATTGGATGCTTTCCACCTATTTGAAGAGATGAAATGAACTATTTTGCTGGCGGCGACAATCACTTCTCGAGTGTATTTGATACTATTTCGTTGCTGATATTTGATTACATATTTTTTTTAAAGTGATTTCTTTTCAATTGTATTCACACACAATTAACTCTAGTGAGGATTTTGCTGCTGTTTCGTTTCCAATATAGGATTGCAAACGAGGTATCAAATGTGTTTCTGCAACACGTAGCTCTGCAGCGGCATGCAGCCAATTTCTTTGCTTTGTTTTAAACGAAGTTAGTGATGAAAATGCTTTTTCGCATAACGCAGTGACTTGTTGAAAATACGGAACGATAACAGTTTGATTGCTCGATTACCTAGCGATGGGTATTCGTTATTAAGAAATATCCAAAATTGTGACAGTGATTTTTTTTTAAAATCTGGACTAAAGTAGAATCACAATTTTCATCAAGATTTTCTTTTTCATCGGGTTCATCATATTAATCCCTCTGCAGTTGATCGACGCCTCAAACGAAATGAATTTATATTACAATGACAAAGTCGTCGGTAACTTGGCACCAGGCTCAAAATCCTACTGTCTCTGCTCAAAATACTAGAAAAGATCTCTGCGACCCATGCTTTTTTGGGTGCTCCCGAATCATCCGTACCAAGATGGCGCACAACCTGAAAATAGTATGTGTACCAGGTCAGGGTTGTTCAGGTTGTGCGTCATCTTGGTACGAATACTTCCGGAGCGCCTTTTTTTGCGCGTCTCGTGACCACCTGCAGGGTCGCAACAAGTTCATATCTTGCTGGAATATTATACTGTTCTTGACTGTTTTCTGGTTTAAACAAAGAAAATATACATGACGTTTTATATGTATGTTCATACTAATCAGGAAAAATGCGCAGAACAGAAAAATCACGCTTGCCGATTTTTAGGTTTCGGAAACTTGCGAGATTTGATGAAGCGCATTCGCCATGAATCGGAGCCGAAAAAGCAAAAAGTGTGATTACTTGGCGCCAAGATGTCGCGAAAGACGTCGCAATATGACGGCGGAAGAGAAATTGCGTAATAAACCAACGTTGTATGCGTTGTTTTACTTAAAAATATGTTACATCAACAGGTCGTCACAGATATCGAGTTTATTTTAACCTCGATTTATTAAGTTTACTGTCATTTCTAATATTATTTGAAGATATTGTTATGTATTTAAACCACTGCAGCGTTTTCCAAATACAACGCCCAATAGAACTAGCATATACTGTTTAAAATATGAACACAAAACGCTATAATTGCCTTTAACCCAATGCAAAATTACGCCGACGAAGTCTCAGTACGACGTCATCAGCGGACCCTACTAATTATTATCGGCCGATTTCTGCAGGGTTAAATCTTGAAATCCACTTTATGTAAGCGGTAAACGACAAAGATTCTAAAATATTATATAGAATCAAATACGCCACAAAAAGTTGTCCGTGAAATTTAATGGAAAAAATAACTTATTTACACATACTCTATGATGTATAACAACTACGTAGTTACGTACAATAGAGACAAACAACATATGACAGAAAAAATACTAAGTCCACGCGATGTACCGTACAATTTATATCGGACATGTATGTACAAATCCACCGCCAAGCACACGAACCGACGTAATGCTTAGCCCAGTGGTTCTCAAACTTCTTAGTATTGTGACGCTCTCCAAAAATATGATCAAGTTGGCGACTCCCCGTGAAAAACGTCTTAATACCTTTCAATAATAGACCTTTTGGAGATGCGATCTATTTAAACGAACAAACACAACTCAACGGAAGTCGGTGATGTTGTTGTGAATTGTGAGAACCGCATGCTTTCCCCCTTTCAACATTCACTCGAGATCGATATTTAGCCTGTATTATGGCCATGGTCTTCACATGAATACGAAGTCGCCAACGGGATGAGAGTGCGCAACGCTTTAAAGAATTCCAAAAACTCATTACATTTTCAGAATTAAAATTTATTTTCATATCGATACCGTTCACAAAATGACGATGAAAAGCAACAGTGTATTGCTGAAGAAAGATTTTGGCAAGTGAAAGCATGTTTTCTGAGAACCCCAAACATCGCATCCCTAGTTGCAACAAAAGCTTTTTTGCTTGAAACTTGAACAATTTAAAGTCAATCTAGCCTTCGTCATACTTGCGTTTTTAGACTTTCCTTGTTCAGTATCATTTTTAAGCACGTGCATTTCTGCAGTGCAATTTTATATTTATACTTTTTCTAAGTGTCGCGACGCCCTAGCAAAATTGAAACGACGCACTTGGGCGTCGCAACGCCACTTTGAGAACCACGGGCTTAGCCGATAGCTGATCTGGAATGAAAACCAAAGTGAAGCAGTGGATTGCTATTCGATGATACAGTCTCCTACTTGTTTTTATTATATTCACATTTTCTCATCATATCATAATATAGGCCTACACAAAATTTGCTTCCCCTTTTCAAAATTCTGATTGCGCTCCTAG